TATTATATAATTTTGAAAAAAATATCATGGATGGATTAACGAAAATGTGTCTATTAATGTAATATACGACATTTAACCCTTTGACTGTTTACGCCGTATAAATACGTCTTACGCGCCACTGTTTCTGACGTATCTATATGCATAAATTCTAGCGGCTTCAAATCAAGCAGGGGAAAGCTGGTTGGCCCACATGTGAGAGAATGGGTCTCCATGGTCAGTGTGCACCATATAAAAAAATCAGGGAGCCAGTGGTGCATTATGGGAATGCCATTTCCGTTGTCCTTCTTCAGCATGCCTAGCGGTAAGAAATATGGGATTCCCCAGCAAATCTGGGACTCTTCTCTTCCCAAGTGATGCTCTAACACAGATGGAAGTGTCAGTGAAGATCAATTTCATGATTTTGAGGAGTTTGAGACCAAAAGCAATGCCCAGGATACCAGAAGAATGGAGGAGGAGGAGGAGGAAGAAGGAAGGAAGGAGGAAGGAAAGAAGCAGGAGGAAGGAGGAGGAGGAAGGAGGAGGAGGGAGGAGGAGGGAGGAGGAGGAGGAGGAGGAGGAAGGAGGAGGAGAAGGAGGAAAGGAAGGAGGAAGGAGGGAGGAGGAGGAAGGAGGAGGAGGGAGGAGGAGGAAGGAGGAGGACGGAAGGAGGATGGAGGAAGGAGGAGGAGGAAGGAGGAGGAAGGAGGAGGAGGAAGGAGGAGGAAGAGGAGGAGGAGGAAGGAAGGAGGAGGAAGGAAGAAGGAGGAAAAGAAGGAGGAAGGAAGGAAGGAAGGAAGGAAGGAAGGAAAGGAAGGAAGGAAGGAAGGAAGGAAGGAAGGAAGGAAGGAAGAAGGAAGGGGAAGAAGAAGAAGAAGAAGAAGAAAAGAAGAAGAGAAAAAGAAAAAGAAAAGAAGAAAAAGAAGAAAGAAAAAGAAGAAGAAAAAGAAGAAGAAAAAAGGAAAAGAAGAAGAAGGAAAAAGAAAGAAAAAGGAAGAAGAAAAGAAGAAGAAAAGAAAAAAGAAGAAGAAAGAAAAAGAAGAAAAGAAGAAGAAGAAAGAAAGAAAGAAGAAGAAGAAGAAAAGAAGAAGTAAAGAAGAAGAAGAAGAAGAAGTAGAAGAGTAGAGAAAAGTAAAAGAAGAAGTAAAAGAAGAAGTAAAAGAAAAGTGAAGTAAAAAAAGAATAGAAGAGAAGTAGAAGAAAAGTAGAAGAAGAATAAAGAAAAAAGTAGAAAAAGAAGTAGAAAAAGAAGTAGAAGAAGAAGTAGAAGAAAAAAGTAAAAGAAGAGTAAAAGAAGAAAAAGTGAAGAAGAAAAAGTAGAAGAGAAGAAGTAGAAGAAGAAGAAAAAAAAGAAAAAGAAGAAAAAAAAATGGAAGATTTTCCCTTGAAGCAGGGAAAAAACAGTTCCCCCCATGACAGTGACAAGAAAAGGCGAGATAAAATCTGATAAGAGCTGTTTTTTTATGGCATAAACAAGGGAAGGGGGGGGGCAGTAAGAAAGATTAGATGACCATCGCCCCCCCTTTGTTTTTGCTGGTACACAAACATTTTGTCTGTTCCCTTTTTCTGTCTGTCAAGTCCCCGTCTATCCATTAGCTTGTTCGAGAGGCCCCAAGACTGTTCATACTTTACTCTCATCTTCAAACAGATAAGCCTTGTTGGATTTCTTGGGGATCTATGTAATTTTCCTTTGTTTTTTGTATTTTGTGTCGTGAACAGGATAGACGCAGTTGAAAGAGAGACAGATTAATTGATAGAAAGAGGGGGAAAGAATAATTATAAATGGGGGGGAAGCGCATCCAACCCCATTGTTTTGACAGGCGGGAGGGGAGTGAGTATGGGAAATAATATGCATTTTGACACTGCCGACTCCTACTCAAAAAAATTTAAAAAGCCACACGGCACACAAGAAAAGCTTGCTGAATGGGATAAAAAATTTTATATAAAAGTATCTTGATATATATGTGTATTTTTACAGAAACCAAACAAGAAGGGAAGGCGGGAATGAAGGAGACAAAAGGAATGTGGAAGAAGGTGGGAAAGGAATGCAGGGAAGTAGGAAGGAAGGAAATGAGACACACGACCATTTACCTAGGATAACCCCTAACAAACTGCCTGCAAACTTTAAAGAAAACTGCCAGATGGGGTGTTTTGCTTTGCATATAAAAAAAAAAAGTCCACAAAAACACAAACACTGTTTTATGCGTGAGGGGTGAAACACCACTGTGTAGAAAAATGTTTTCAAAGAGTTCCACAAGCTGCAGAATTCTAGGAATATTTTCGGTGATGACATTGGATATATTTATAAAAAATAGTAAAAAAAAATTTTTTTAAATTTTGGGGTTTGTTTTTTTTAAACAAGTTTTGAAAAACAATAATTGATAATTATTTTGGTGCTTATTGTGTTGTATACACGAGTGTATAATGAAATTGCACCTTACTTTGGTCTCATAGGCCACATAAGTTATGTGAAAAAATAAAATAGTGAAAAAAACAAAAAACCTTCAAATACAAGTAAACTAAAGTTTACCGGGTGAGCGGCAGTAGCCGGTGTTGCCATACGCAGCTCATTTTCTGCAAACTTCACAGCTCTATATCTCGGTAAGTATTGATGGCAAAAAAAATTTTTTTTGGACTAAAACACTCAGAAAAATAATCTTAACATTTTCATAAGAATTTTTTTTTTTTTTTTTTTTCGAATATTTTGTGACATAGAATGACAGTTTCAGAAAGGAGCCTGCGACAGTCAAAGGGTTAATGAGACTCGGTGATTATTATTATTATTATTATTATTTCTAATATGGCATCACTTGTGCAAGTCGTCTTCTACCACATCTCATATTTACGTTTATTTATTCTACTGTGGGGTGTATTTATTCAAGTTTCTTCTCTATAAGGGTTACAATGTGGGGTTTACAGGTTTTGGGTATTGTGTGGTTTACATGTTATAAAATACTAATTACAGAGGGGGCCACTAGGACACCTAGCATGGCTAGGCATTTCGGGGAGACTTAGATTAATTCTTAACATTATCCTTACGGATTACGGTATTAAGGCTAAGTGACTACGTACATCATAATTTGTGAGTTTAGCAATGTGAATGCTTTTGTTTTGGCACAATACAAAGTGTCTATATTGGAGTATCATAGGAAAACTTATGACTAGTTAGGATTTATTATTTTAAGATTAAGATTAGTATTTCTGGGTTCAAAGTCAGTGGGTGAATGAGTGTAATTGTGAATCACCAGGTGGTTATCATGTAGTTAGTTGTCAGGGTGTATCAGGGAGATAAGATGTTTTCTAACTGTAGTTTTGAAAGTGATGAATGTGTCTGCAGTTCTAGAGTTTTCAGGCAGGGTATTCCAGATTTTACGTCCTTTGAAATACATTGAATTTTTGCAAAGGTTTAGTCGAACACGGGGAATGTCATAAAGATGTTTGTGTCTGGTGTTATGCCAGTGGATCCTGTCACAACTATCAAGAAAGCATTTTAGGTCAAATTTAATATTGGAATTTAAGGTCCTGTAGATATAGACTGCACAGTAGTAAGTGTGGATGTTCTGAAAAGGGAGTAAGTTTAGATCTATGAAGAGTGGGGGGGGGGGGGTGTTGTCAGGGATGGGATTTAGTGATTATTCTTACTGTGGCTTTTTGTTGGGTTATTATTGGCTTTAGGTGTGTTGCTGCAGTTGAACCCCAAGCACAGATAGCATAGGTGAGGTATGGATATATAAGTGAATGGTATAGTGAGAGAAGGGCACTTTGCGGCACGTAGTATCGTATCTTGGAGAGGATCCCCACCGTTTTGGATACTCTTTTTGTCATGTGTTGGATATGGGTGCTGAAATTTAGATTGTTGTCGAGGTATAGGCATATGTTAGGTATATGTTATGCATCGTGTTTATTATATAATTTTGAAAAAATATCAGATGGATTAATGAAAATGTGTATCTTAACGTAATATATGACATTTAAATGAGACTCGGTGATTATTATTATCATTACTAATATGTCTTGAGACATAAGACACTTACTGAATTTAATATGTGCCTGCACACCAACACAGTGTGTAAGTTTATTTAGGTACAGGTATACATAGATATAATTATCAGAGTATAATATATGAAATAACTTTTAAAAACACTTGAAATTTTGGAGTTTCCAGACAAAATGGAGAGACTTGGTACCTACGGATCTCACGGAAAAGCTGGGGGAGCCGTATAACGAGTTATGGTCATAATTTGAAATGACCGTATTAGCGGAACGCTGTAAAGCAAAACGCCGTCAAGTGGGGCCCTACTGTATGTGTATATATATTATAGAAGAGTAGTAATAAACAATTTTTTTAATTGTTGGTTTGTGTAAATAAGTTTTGTAAACAATATAATGATAAATATTTGTGTGATTATTGTGCTGCATACATGTGGATATATATATACATTATGCATTATAGTGGTCTCACAGGCCATAAAAGTTACTTGAAAAAATATTAAAAAATACACGAAAAAATAGAAGTAAAATAATATTACCGAGTGAGTGGCAGTCGCTGATGTTGCAGTCAGCGGTTTACTTTTTGTCAACTCCACGCCTCTATATCTTGGTAAGTTCTGATCGCATTTTTTTTCCTTTATAACTCTAAGAAAAGCATTAAGATTTTGGTAAGATTTTTTTTTTTTTTTTTTTTTTTTAATATTTTTTGACACTAAGAGCAAGTCTCCAAAAAGGGGTCTTAACAGTGAAAGGGCTAATAGGTATATGATTATTACCCATTTCATGATGATTCATATAAACGCTTATTATCCAGTGACCTCAAAATGACTAATTATAACTCATGAGTTTAGAGCATGGTATAACCTTAATACAAAACCTGACCTAGCTGTCTTGACGTGGAACTTCCATATTACTAATATGCTTGCATATCATACGTTGTAGTTACAGTAACTATGTTTTGTCTTAATGAAAAAAAAACTGACTTCTATGAATCTTGTTCCAGGTTACCCTTGGCTGCAAAAGACAGAACCAACCTGTTCCAATGCCACCAATAACATTGGGTTCAGTAGAGGAGAGAGCTGCTCCGACCACTGAGCCACCACCAACACTCTGAGGTGCCATAGAGGGTAAAAACAAGCATCCAAAACCCTCAGCACTCATATCAAACTCAACAAAAGAGGGATAGACAAGTGTGCCAACTCTGTAAGGAAAATTAATTATCAATAGCATAATTATATTTGTAAGCGAAAAGAAAAAGACCTGAAATTCAGCAAACTTACATGAGCTACAGCACTGAAGGTTTATGAAAATATTCTTCTCCCAAATATTTATAAGAGAAAATACAGTATTTGTAAAAATTATTTGTAAAAAAAGATTAGCAAATAAATAAATAAATACTGTTCCTCTGATTAACCCTTACACGGTCCAAACGTACATATACGTTCTTTCGCATAGCGCCCCAAACATATATATATATACACGTTTTATTTTTTCATTCATTCAAAATTGGCGCAATAGGCCTGAGTCGCCTAGACATGAGAAAATGGGTGTGCGCACTCGGTGTGCGCGGTATGAAAAAAATTGGGGACGCCTGGTTACCACATGGTAGGTCCAGTTACATTCACCTCCGTCTTGGGTCAGCATCATGGCACATCCTCGTGATTCACTCACTCCTCATCATATTAATACTCTACTATTCAAGGAAATTGATATATATCATGAGTTTAGTGGATTTGACATCAATGGGGCCAGTAATATTCAAGGAATTAGTGAAAATGTCAACGATAACCCAGATGACCTTCAGCCCATCACCTCTGGGGTAGCGACACCTGTCCTAGGGCCAAGCACATCTGGGGTAGCCAGTGTGGCCACAGCAGACCCTAGGCCAAGCACTTCTGGGGTAGCCAGTGTGGCCACATGAGACCCTGGGCCAAGCACCTCTGGAGCAGCAAGTGTTACCCATAGGCAACTTCGCAAGAGGAAACTATCATTTTCCCGGTGTTTTAGTGATAGTGAAAGTGATGTAAGTGACGATGAGATTGATTTTATGCCATTCGAGGATTCGTCTAGCGATAGTGAAGTTCATTATTCAAATTCAAAGTTTTTTCTCTATAAGGATTACAATGCTGAGTTTACAGAATTTGGTTATTGTGTGGTTTACATGTAGTAAAATACTTACTACAGAGGGTGCCACTAGAACACCTAGCATGGCTAGGCATTTTGGGCAGACTTTTAGATTAATTCTTAAATTTAAAATATTACAAATTATGAGGTATGTTGGTATTATGGATAAGTGACTAAATACTAGTTTGTGAGTTTAGCAATGTGAATGCTTTTGTTTTGGCACAATACATAGTTTCAGTATTGGAGTATCACAGGCCAACTTATGACTAGTTAGGATTCATTATTTTAAGATTGAGATTGATATTTCTGTTTATGGTCAAATGGGTGAGTGAGTGTAAGTGTGAACCACAAGGTGGTATTCGTGTAATTAGTTGACGGGGTGTATCAGGAAGATAAGATGTTTTCTAATGGTAGTTTTGAAGGTGATGAATGTGTCTGCAGTTCTAGAGTTTTCAGGTAGGGTGTTCCAGATTTTAGGGCCTTTGACATACATTGAATTTTTGTAAAGGTTTAGTCGGGGAATGTCATAGAGATGTTTGTGTCTGGTGTTATGCCTGTGGGTTCTGTCACAACTATCAAGAAAGCATTTTAGGCCAAGGTTAATATTGGAATTTAAGGTCCTGTAGATGAAGATTGCACAGTAGTAAGTGTGGATGTACTGAACAGGGAGTAAGTTTAGATCTATGAAGAGTGGGGGGTTGTGTTGCCAGGGATGGGATTTAGTGATTATTCTTACTGCGGCTTTTTGTTGGGTTATTATTGGCTTTAGGTGCGTTGCTGCAGTTGATCCCCAAGCATAAATAGCATACTTTTAGGTGTCATCATCTACGTTCAGGCACTGTGCCATAAGCAATCCCCAAGGGTAGTGGCAGGTCACGATCCAAAACCCTGGCCACTGATAGTGAAAGTGATCATGAAGGCGAGTATGCGGGGATGGAGGAAGTAGTGGTAGGTGGCATGGTGCCTGGACCACATGGCGCAGTGGGTGGACAGACAAAGGACTGCCCGGCTTCCCCTCAACCATGTGCTGCCTCCACTCCTGTCCCTCCTCCTGCTCCCCCTCGCCCCATGCCACAGGTCCACCCTGTACCACGTGATCATGAGTGGAACTAGACACAAAGTATATTCGTGCCACAGCCTTGTGATTTTCATGCGAGTGGAAGTGGTATCCAGCCAGAATGTCCCATAACAAATGAGTCTAGAGAGTTAGACTATTTCCAGTTGTACTTTGATGAACCTATAATGAACTTGATAGTGACCCAGACAAACAATTATTACCGATATGTCATGGACAACACAGCAGATGTTGAAGAATCATCACGGCTGCACAGGTGGAAGGACACAACAGTGGCTGAAATGTATTTATTCCTTGCCACTGTCATGCTTATGCAACACATACGTAACTACTGGTCCACAGACCATTTCATTAGTACTCCAGTTTTCCGTGACCTCCTTCCCTGCAACAGATTCACTCTGTTGCTACGAATGTTGCACTTCTCAAGACAGAAATATGCCAAACAGAAATGACCTTCTATACAAAATCCGGGAAGTGTTTATGTATTTGAAGCAGAAATTCAGTGCATACTTCTATCCCTTCAAGAACATTGTTGTTGATGAGTCCTTGATTCTGTTCAAGGGACGCCTGTCATTCAAACAATATATACCAAGCAAACGTAATCGCTTCGATATGTAAAGCTATTTGTTATGTGTGACTGTGGGGAGTGGCCTTGTGTTTTGTTATTGTATACACCGGAAAAAATTTAAAAAAC